CCTGGCAGCTGCGGCTTTCACTGGCCCCGTTTGCCGGGCGGGGGCGGTCCAGAGGTGGCTTGAAGGAAGGGAGGGAGGGAGGGAGGAAGAGCGGAACGCGGAGCTCCATGGCTGCGGTCTACGGCGGTGTGGAAGGGTGAGACGGACGGGGGAGGCTTCAAGCAGCCCCCCCACCCCGCGCGCTCGCATCGCCTTCCTCGACTCACCTGGCGCACAGGTGACTCGCCAGGTGAGTCGGGGAAGGCGATGCAAGCCCTGGGAGGGGCTGCGCTTGCCCCAGATCGGGGAGGGGTCCAATTTGGGGTGGCAGGACCCCAGGTATTGGGTGATCCAAGACGGAGGAGGGGGCCCTTCTCTGGATCCCCGCTTTGGAGGGGCTCCATTGAAAAGTGGGCTGGGGGGGCGTGGAGGGACCCTTTGAAAGCCCTTGGGGGCTGCAACTTTTGCAACAAGCTCCCCAAATCAATCCCCGCGCCCGCCTTTCTCAGCGCTGGCCTCCAGGTGTGGATTGACAAGGGGAGGGGTCGGGGGGGTCCTGTGTTCCCCGAGCTCGTTCAGGCTACCTGCAGCCAGCAGCCTCCCCCCAACCCCAGCCTGGCGCCCGCGGGCTCCCGGTTGCAGGGGGCGGCGGCGGCGGCCTCCGCTTCGTTTGCAGGAGGAGTGACGTCATCGGGGCCAGAGGAAAATCTACGAGAAACTCTGGCATAATACAAAGTATATGAACTAGTTTATTATTTACAGATGTTGCTCCTAAAAATAGCCTCCCTGCAATGAGGTTGGCATCACTTGGGCCCCACCCCCACCCCCAAGGAGGCAAGAGGGACATTTCCCAGATTGCAAAACCGCCGAGGTCCCATGGGGCTGGGCAGGGCTGCCCTGCAAGGGGGAAGGAAGCCGGGAGAAGCTTGGGAGGGCGGAGACCAGGCTGCTGGGCCAAAAGTTTGGCTGCCTTCTAAGTGGGGGGAACGTTGGAAACCGAGATAGCTGGTTTGCAGATGTGGGCTTGCGAGCTGGGGAGAAGGGGGGGGGGCTTAAACCGAGGAGCCCATTTTGGTGGCTTAAAACAGGGTTTCTTCTGCAGATGGCTGGACTTCAACTCCCAGAATTCTCTAGGCAGGCAGGGTTGGTGGGCGGGGCCTTGCTGGTTGGATGAATATTAGACCAATGATCAGACAGTATCCAAGCAAGGAACACCCCCAACGATAAATAACAACCCAATCAGGGAACCTCTAAGAAGGCTCCCAGCAACCCTGGGAGCTTCCTCTTCCTCCTCTCCACACACCCCATTCCCTTCTAGCACTGATGATGTTCCCTAGTTGGGTCATGAAATGTCTACAAGAAAATCACCCAGCTGAGAGTATCAAAGACCCCCACAGTTCTCCTCCTCCTCCTCCTCTCCACACACCCCATTCCCTTCTAGCACTGATGAAGTTGCAAAATGAGGCAAAGTTCACTTAAACAACTGTCTCACTTAACGGCAGAGATTTTGGGCCCCACTGTGGCCATAGGTCGAGGACTTGACTGACCCCTGACAAGCTGGGCAGCAGGCCCGTCTCCTGCGGCCCCTCAAGTGGGGGTTTTTCTTCCCCTGCAGGGGCGGGACCCACTCCAAGGTGGTGCTGCTCTGTGAAGATGGCAAGATCCTGGCCCAGACCGAGGGGCCCTGCACCAACCACTGGGTGAGGATGGGGCCCTCCTTCTTGGGGTGGGGGTGGGGCAAAGGGAAAATGTGAGTAGGGGGAGCTGCTTGATCTTGCTTTCGTTCCTATGCACGTAGAAAAAAAACTCCCAGCTCTGACACTCTTCCTTGGGAAGGTTGCTCCGGAAAATACTATTTAAACAGCAACGGCCCTTCTGCTGCTTCCCAGCCCTTCCTAGCCCTCTCTAAGTGGTTTACAGGGTCAGCATTCCCCCCCCCCAACTGGGTCCTCATTCGACCCACCTTGGAAGGAGAGAAGGCTTGAGCTGGTCAGGATCGAACTGCTGGCAGTGGGCAGAGTTCGTCTGCAGTACTGCATTCTAACCACTGTGCCAACAGGACTCTTGACAGATAGACAGGCAGGCAGACAGACAGATGATAGGTGGAGAGAGGGATGGATAAATAAGATAGAGTAGATAGAATAGATAGATAGATAGGTAGGTAGATAGATAGATAGATAGAGAGAGAGAGAGAGAGAGAGAGATAAGAGTAGATAGACAGACAAACACACAGGCAGGCAGACAGACAGATGATAGAATGATCTATTGATCGATAGATAGAGTAGAGTAGATAGAGTAGGATAGATAGAGTAGATAGATAGATGATTGATTGATCGATCGAAAGATTAGATTGAGTAGATAGAGTAGGATAGATAGATAGTAGAAAGATAGATAGATTGATAGATAGATATAGATAGATAGACAAAGATAGATAGATATATAGAGTAGATAGATAGTAGAAAGATTGATTGATTGATTGATAGATATAGATAGATAGACAAAGATAGATAGATAGATAGATAGATAGAGTAGATAGATAGATAGTAGAAAGATAGATAGAGATTGATAGATATAGATAGACAAAGATAGATATATAGAGTAGATAGATAGTAGAAAGATTGATTGATTGATTGATAGATATAGATAGATAGACAAAGATAGATAGATAGATAGATAGATAGAGTAGATAGTTTGATAGTAGAAAGATAGATAGATAGATTGATAGATATAGATAGATAGACAAAGATAGATAGATAGATAGATAGAT